GGGACCTGTCCCCTCGCCAGTATGGATTCAGGGTGGGGCGATCTACGGTTGATGCTGTTGAAGAGGTAAAGCAAGCCGTGATGAGAGCTGAGGATTTTAACCACTACTCTCGAAGGGTTGTGCTGCTCGTAACTCTCGATGTGCGAAACGCATTTAATTCGGCGAGGTGGTGCGATATGCTGGATGCTCTGGAGAACACCTTCCACGTCCCGGCATACCTCATGCGTATCATAGAGGATTATCTCCGGTTCCGCCTCCTCATGTATGACACTACAGAGGGCCCACGGACGATGAGTGTCACTTCCGGTGCTGCCCAAGGTTCCATACTCGGCCTGGACCTCTGGAATGTCGCGTATGACAGCCTCCTGAGGTCTGAAATGCCTGAGGAAACTGTTTTGGTTGGGTACGCGGACGACGTTGCAGTTTTGATAGCTGCACGTAGCATTGAGCTGGCTCAGCTAAAGCTGAACCGAGTTATGTGTACTATAAACGCATGGATGACAGACCACGGTCTCTCGCTTGCTTTGAGCAAAACTGAGATCGTGATATTAACAAAAAAACGGATTGACACCATCGTGCCGTTGAGGGTAGGGGCCGTCGAAGTCCAGACCGTTCGTTCTGCCAAGTACCTTGGGATTATGGTGGACAGCAAGCTTAGCTGGCGGGATCAGATCTTCCGTACGGCGGACAAGGCCGCTAGGGTGGTCTCCTCTCTTAGCCGGTTGATGGCCAATGTCGGAGGGCCTCGGTCCAGCCGTAGAAGGTTGTTAATGTCTTCTGTACAGTCCGTACTCTTGTACGGTGCTGAGGTGTGGGCAGACGCTCTAAATAAGGAGGTATATAGGATGCGACTCGCCCGAGTGCAGCGTCAGGCAGCACTAAGAGTTGCATCCGCCTACCGAACTGTGTCCGAACCCGCCGTCCTGGTGGTTGCTGGAGTCATCCCCGTCAAACTTTTGGCGGCGGAGAGAAAAGCAATTTATCAGCGCCGTGGGGAGGACCAGGTACGAACAGAGGAACGCACCCGCACCTACCAGCTGTGGCAGGAGAGCTGGGAACAGGAGACTCGGGGACGCTGGACCAGGCGACTGATAAAGCAAGTCCAACCTTGGGTTAATCGGCGGTGCGGAGAGGTGGACTTCTTCCTCACCCAATTTCTGACGGGTCACAGATTTTTCAGGTCGTACCTGTTCAGGATGGGCAAAGCCGTGTCACCCGATTGCATATACTGCCCAGGCATTCCCGATGACGTGGAACATACCTTTTTCCACTGCCAGCGTTGGGAAAGGCCCCGCCTGGAGGCTCGACAGTTAGTAAGTAGGACTGCTGTCGGTGGACACGGTCATACCGATGATGACGGAGGGTGAGGACAATTGGACCTGTGTGTCACATTACATCCAGGGTATTCTCCGCGCCAAGAAGCTCGACCTTGACCGGGATGCGGTGTAGGTCATCAAGTATCCAAATGCCAAAAACGGTGAGAGCCCTGAGGGCTTAAGTAACATGTTTGCCTGACTTGAAGTAATGTACCAAACAATTCCAGGTCTGTGTCCAACAGAGTAGAGGGGGTTTTTTAGTGAGTAGTCTGTGATAGATTCAGGAGTCACACACTACAGGCTGGCTACCTGTGTGCGTAAAGGCATTTTCCCTCCTCTCCCTTAAAAAAAAAAAAAAAAATACGTTAATTCTTGAATTGAGATGCTGTATGTTTATGGTGAAATACCTTTAATGAATTTAGTTTGTTCATTTTGTTTTACTTCATTGTTGTAATAAGGAATAAGGAATTCAAATATATATATATCAAATAAATCCTATATACCGGGTAACTCAAAATCAAAAATTACTGACAAGAGGTCCCTTTTTGCTTTCCACATCACATTTTATGGTGATTTATGAAAAAGGGTGATTCTCTTTTACATAACAAACTGTTACGGTCCTTCCAAACTATTTGGTTTTTGTTGTCTTAGTTTTACTAGGGTCTTGTAAACATTATTTGGTTTCTAACCGTACACTGAGACAAGCGTAACGCCAGGAAGGGTGTGTGCCCCCCCTCACATTACAAAATTGTTAATTTTTGTAGCCCACCAACAATAAAAATCCAGATAAAAATACATTTCTTCTACTTTCCAATGTAGAATAATGGGACTTTCCAATGGTGTCCTGTGTGTCCAATTGTGTCCACCCCAAATCTACGGGTCACGTGGCACCTCTTGTAGAATGTGTTTACATCACAATGTAGATATAGACAGTGTCCAATTGCGAAGCCAAATTATAAACAGTACAACAACAGCTGATTTATTTGCACTGGCCGGTGGTCTCCTGTTTATTCGTACAGTTTGAGAGCTCTTACATTTAACTACATGTGCCACTAATCACACAGTTAATTTAATGTGTGTGCCAACCACTTCTAGCCCCATTATGCTGATGTAGGCCGTTCGGAAAAGCCGACCAGATTCGCATAAGTTGTCACAGTTGTACAAATGACATCTTGCCATGCGGCTTAACCTAAAAGTGTAAATGATCTCAACAGATTTTTAAAATTTACTTCGAAAGATTGGTCTAAAAATGACTGCCGCTTGGCTTCCTTCCATCTGGACTGCCAACCCATTGGTTATGAATCGGCAAGCGGCATTCCTGACGGCACAATTGATTCAGTGGCAGTGAACGGTTTTATTCTGTCAACGTGTAGTGTGAAAGCTCTCATGCTCTTCTTAACAATAGGCTACTTAAAAATAAAAATAACAGGCACTGTATCTTTTTAAACCGTAGGCCTACTGCAAAAACCGTATAGTGTGAAAGTAGTGTTGAGGTTACAGAAAAAGGTCTAGCTAACAATAAATAAAATATGAAACATTAGTGTAAAAGCTTTATCATCACTAATGGGGATATTAAATAATAGCTTGAAATCCACCAGGTGTTAGAAACAAGCAAACTTATACTACGGATCATTTGCTTCATACTGACAGTTCAGTTTATAATATATCTGAGAGACAAGCCAGCGGTTTCCATGTGTTGCGCTATGTGCCTGAGACAATTGCGCCCCTCTCCACCTACCTTGTAGGGGAATTTTTCTCTTCCTTGTGCCCCCAATAAACCCAAAACCTTTTGCGCCCCTGGGCAGGGACCTATTTATAAAAGCGGTGCCGAGAGAGAGAGAGAACTGATAGTTTAATAATTAATGTCTAGTAGGGATACCACTGTAAATAATCACAAACACATGATCTTATGAAGTTAAAAATTTATCTTAAGTTAGCCTAAATAAATTTTCAACCTGAACTGTATTTTTTGGAATGTTTTTACATTAGGGAACATGAGGATAGTTTATATAGGCTAATAGTTCTACTATAGCCTATTATAGTTGACATTTTAGTTTAAAATGATTATATCACTTAGAAAAGATTTGAAATTGGATTATGATATGTCCTAGAGAATATTGAGTGTGAATCAATTATTTTCTCTATAAATTATTTATTACCAAAGACTATCAGCTGACTTCAATGATAGGCACTTTTCTTTATAACATGCAGTTTTTCGTGTCCCTTCAAGGCAAGAAAAGTAGATGGAGGAATCAAAGAAATGGATTGCCTCAGGGTAGCGTCATAGCCCCAGCTCTTTATAACATTTACACTAACGACCAACCGTTGCCAAACGCTACACGTCAGTATATATATGTCGATGATATGGCGGTGGCGGCACAAGGTAGGAGTTTTGAAGAGGTGGAACAGAAGCTGACTATGACTCTAAATAAACTTTCCCAGTACTATGACGCAAATCACCTCAAGCCGAACCCTGCTAAGACCCAAGTTAGTGCCTTTCACCTAAACAATAGAGAAGCCGGTGAGTTGAATGTGAGGTGGCAGGGAGACCGTCTTCAGCATTGTCCTACACCCAAATATCTTGGTGTCATAATGGAAGGCACACTGACATTTAAGGCACATTTTATTGCGACAAGAGGTAAAGTCTCAGCGAGGAATAATATCATCAGGAACCTAATGTCCGCGGAACCTCAGCTTTAGCGCTCAGTGTGTCGGCTGCAGACAAACCCTCCCATACCAGCCAGGGAGGAACTGGCTCCTGGTGGAGGCCTTCATTACACGGTGTGGAAAACCCCAAATCGAATTAGGGTCGAGATACCAAAATACAAGACAAACATGCAGAAATGGGGTCTCTTACTAGACGAAGAACACATCTTGTGCGCGTGTGGTGCTGTTCAGGATCCTGGCCATCTGCTGATCAGTCAACGCCTAGACCAGTCTTGCACATTAGATGATCTTTTACATGCGAATGACAAAGCCATAGGCCTCGGGTACGATACAAGTGGCGAGCGGCACGTGAGCGCTGGTGGTGGCTACGATACAAGCGGCACATTTATAACGCTCATCTAGTTTCCCAAGTTTTATGAGTCAGTTTAGTATAAAATGGTAAACTATGCTTACCTGCAAGACGTATTGCAACTTTTTGCGTTTAAAGAAAAACTTAGTTTTTAGAAAAACCTTAACCCAAATTTTTTCTTATACTTTCCTGATGACTGGAGTGTTTTAAAACTTCCGTGCTGGTCATTCCAAAAAAATTCCCTGGACTGCACCTCACGTATCGACCCGTATCGCATGTTTGCTGCTGTTTCCCTGTCATTTTAGGCCAAACTGAAGCATGACTCACCTGAGCGGCGAGCGGCGTTTTTGCGAAAATCGGTTTTGACTTGGAACCCTGAGCGGCGACGCCCGCCGCTCAGACGTATCGTGGCCACCCTCAGCAAATTTACACGCAACTAAAAAAGACCCGATGTCAGAGCGGCGCCGCTCGCCGCTCGTATCGTACCCGGGGCCATATCGGTAGCTAAGTTTTGGAAAAGCGAAGTCTGATTTCCGGACACGGAAAGTAAGTAATTATTTTCTGAATATTTTGATAAGCCATTTAGACTCGTGTTTAGTAACTTGAGTTGGTTGCTACGTATTGAAAGTAGAGTTGCCTTTGTGGGGGTGTGGTGAAATAAAACAAAATTTTAATTCACTAACTTTGCACTATATTAGCATAACGCCAACCTTACACAAAATGCATTGTTTGGAAAAGAGGTAAACATCGCATGATTTATATTGTTCTAGTACACATTACATTCCGCAACAAGATAATTTAACATTCATACCATAGGATATATGTTAAAATTCCATTTTTCACTATTTGTAATGTAACCAATAATAAAAAAGTCTTAACTCTAAGATTCAATCCTTCTTTAATTCACATTTAAAAAAGTTTTTTTTAAGAAACACAAAACAATGCACACATTTAAGTGTAGTGATAATAAACACACTTAAGCTGTACTAGTCTACTTTTTAAGCAACTTTTTGGGAGGAAGTAAATTGAAATTGTTCAAAACTACCATTCAACTGGTTTTATGGTTATAAATCTAGACATAATAAAGACAACTACAATGGTAGTCGCCACAAAACACCCGACAAACATGTACCATGTCTCTTCGTCAAACAAGTCAGTGAACGCGGGAATCTGGTTGTAAAGTTCATCAATGAGTTTAACATTATACTGTTTGTTGCTCTTTGGCATGTTGTCTTGTATCACCTACGCAGCAGCTATAGACTCAGCTTATCGCTTCTTTGCCTTCTCAGACTTTGTTTTAAGGATAGTTGTCGGAACCTCTTTCGGCAACAGAGTTGTTATGTGTTTGTTGTAGAGTCTGAACATTTCCAATGTTGATAAATGCTTGGCTTTGAACAGCACTGAGGAACCATTTTCTGTAAAAAAAAAAACAAAAACAGTGTTAGTTAGTTTCAATGGTTATAACAAACTGTCTTTTAGAGTTAAATTTGTGCTGTTTCTTTGGTGGTGACCCTAAAGACAGTTCTTATTCACAGAGGTTCAAAACAACAGTAAAATCAAATTGGTAGGCTATAACCTGATCATATAATCCATCTGTTTAGCTACCTTTGTTCAACTATCAAAGTTTAGCATCACAAAAAACTATAAAATTTACTTTATTGAGAATATCTAATCTCCCCAATCTTAAGGTTCCATTTTAAAGAATAAGGTATTCACAGTGACCAAGTTCCAGTTTTGTTCTTTCCTAAAACATTAACACACAATGATTGTGATGGTAAGGATTCCAGATTATTGCAACTTGGTTGAGCTATTTTGATCATGGGATATTGAGCTCTAGGTTCTGGACCTTCCAGCCTATTTATTTTCACCCTTTTAGTACGGACAATTTGAAAATTAAACGACATTTAATTCAAGTATAGGCACAACTTAATTTTTAGACCTAGCCATCTCATGATGTAGGTATGTAACGATAAATAGTAGGGTTTCGGATAGATGAAAAGTGAAACACACTAACTGTTATAATGTGGGAATAACCTAAAGCAAATTTAGTTGACCTAGTGTATAATAGAAAACTAAGATAGGCCTACCTAAGTTGAATGCTATGGAGGGATCTCCTCTGTCACATAAGACGTTTGATTTCACCACACAATTGGGATTTGTCTTGATAACTTTCTTGGATTGAAGGTAGTACATAAATTCTCTGGAAATGCAAAAAGTATCAGTATGTAGGCTACTCTATGAAGTGATATAAATACATTTAAGATCAAGCTATGGCCCCAGTTAGCTGCCCAAAATTTGTCTTGATAAATCAAATCTCAGATGATGTTGAATAATTCATGTTTATCTCAAAACTCAAGTCCAAATATTGCAGCTTGTTAAAAGTATTAAATAAATAAAGGTCTACATGTTGATACATTGTGGAATCTTGATGAACTAGACGTTTTGAACATATTTCCAACAACCATGCTATAATTACCAGATTTAAATACCGTAGGCCTACCCTACAATTAGTTACAGTTGCTAATTTATTTTTTCAGGATGGCTCTACCTTGCCCTGCAGATGTGCAGATTTACCATACTGAGCTACCCACAGCTATTTCCAACAATTATGGCTGTGGTAGCTGTACAGGTAAGGTTTTCACCTGTAAAGGTTACTTAGTACTTAATTTGATTGATGTTTCAAGTTATACAAGAAGTAAAAAGATAGCGTAATAAGCATCTGGTTAATAGTAAGCGTCTGGTTAGTAGCAGGGATGTAGACCTAATAGCTCAGTATTAATGAGCTTACTGAGTCAGTAAGCAGAATGGATAGGCCCCTACAGTTTCGTAGAGAATCTGCAATGTATAATCAAATGAAATTTTTATTCTCTATAAACTTATTCATTAAAATAATTTATTCTACTTAAATATTTAACATAAATATTATTTTCTCTTACGTGGCTTTTCAAGGAGCCCTACTCTTTAACAGTCACAGTGACATTCAGGTTAGATTTTTAGTCTATTTTATGATAATGGCAAACAAGGTAAGTACAGTTAAGTTAGACATAAGCCAGACATCCTCTCATTCTCATTGAAAATTGGGAGCAGCAGCTTGCTTTTTTGAAATTGTCTTGTCGTTTAAATAAGTATTTATTCCAAAAGATAAAAAACAACATGGGCGTAACATCAATAAACAACCTGACTCGCCTATAACCCTCCAAGTATCTCTAGTTTTGGTCTTAATTTTCGCCCATTTATTGCGCAATCGCAGGGTTTTATTAAAATGTATCTTAGAAACTTAAAAACAATGTAAAGTATACTGTAAAAACAATGTAAAGTATACTGTTTTATAATATATTATTTTGTTTGGAAAATTATGTCTAACCCACCTTCAAAGGACTCAACTTAGCCTGGCTAAGCTTAATTAAGTTTCGTTACATAGGCCCTACCGTAGGTTTTGTTTGTTTAGAACAGTTTGTTTCATTTTTAAATCAAAACATTAAATTTATGATCAGCTGGTAACACTAAACCATTCTAGGAGCCAAAGCAAGAGTAAGTAGTAGGCCTAGCACTGTTCTGTATCCCTCCGCTCCTTGTAGGAATGGTTTAGGAAGGTCTAAAAAAAGTCCAAAATGTTCAGAAGCAAACTAACCTACCTGGAATAGCCTAATGGAAATCACATTTCTGGCCAGGCACAATTAAAATATATTGATTTTATTTAGACCAGCTTCCCTACATCACTAATTTAATTTTAGGATTTAGGCCCTTCCTAAGGTAACAACCCATCACCTTCATAATGAAATAAACCCCTTACCTTGTGTGCTTGGACTCTTCAACAAAGGGGTCAAACTGAAAGACAATACGTTTAACAGGTTTTAAGGAAAGTTTTCTTGTTTCTTTTGCAATGGCACTTGTAATACCTCCAGAACGACAAATACTTCCAGAGAAACGGACAGCCATACTTGACCTAGGAATTTCACACAAGTGTTTGAGTATTAATTGCCTAGGCCTATTACTAGCCTAGCCTATGTGACTTAAATAATACAGAAAGGTAAAAATAGAATCAGGTTGAACTTAACTTTATCAATGTAAAACAAAAGCACCTGTTAGGTTGAAGAAATATCCCCGATCTAGGCCTAGTTTATTAGGGTACAGAAAAATTAACACAATGAACGAATAGCGGAGTGAAAATAACCACTAAACAAACACATGTTTAGAATAGTAATTTGTCGTCTTTTCTGATCTTTGAGCTACGGAGCAGTGAGTGGAGTGGAGATCTGTTTGGTGTTTCTATCCGAGAAACAGACTTGAAACCTAACAAAATGAAAACCTCGTCGTATAATCAATACTTTCTATTTAAAAGAGGTTAAAACAGCCATGAATTTCGTTTTGTGTGTTGGTAGTGCGTTTGGGGCTTACGTCACTCGAGTCCGCCACTCGCCATATTGTCAAATTGTTCGTGACTGCGGGGTCGCTCGTTGAGCGCCTTGTGTTAACAAAATTTTATAATTAGTGATCGTACAAGTAGTTTTTTACCTCAAGAAATAACTATGTATCCTGTGTCTCAACGTATGTATACAATAATATATTATTATATACGTTCGTTAGCACGATATACTGCGATTTGTGCTACCATCTCTGAAACTTGGACTATCAGAACGTTAGGTCCATAAATCATTCTGAATCGAAAATATTTTATTTTGTTGACCACCCAAATTTTTTTGGTGAATTTTTTATTTTTATAACTTTGGTCTAGTAACGTTATTTGAAGAATTTATCTTACACCAACTTTTAGGCTAGATTGGCTGGTATAAGGCTTAAGATGACCCAGAATTGGGTTGAATGACCTTAGAGAAATTGTTTGTGCTTCATGGACTTTATTTTCAGTCCAACAACTCCTCAATGCCCTATGAGTCATACAATTTAAAGTAAACTCTAATTTATGTAATATTAACCACTTTTTTCAATTTAAGCTCTAAAACACTAAAACAGTCAAAGCTGAGATAAGTTAGGCTAGGCTATGGTCAGAATCTTTGAGTTGGTAATCTTCCCGCCACATTCTACTCACAGTATATAGCTAGGGTACAGTCTGCTTTAAACCACCATTTAAATTTGCTAAAAAACCTATAAGATCTTAACTTTAACACATTGCGTGCGGGTCAGTCGCCGGCGACTGGTTCCTTATCATTGAGATAAGTGCAATTTTCAAGAGTAAACATGACGGCCGCATTGAAAGAGTTAAAAGATAAAATTAGGCTGAGGGTAAAGTATATTTAAGTTACGTTCAAGGCCAAGCCTAGGCCTAATTCATACCTAAGTTTAGAACAAAGCTAACCTGCTAATTCCAGATAGAAAAATAAATAAATAAGATAACTTATAGGCTACTGTAGTCTTGTGTTTAATTTAGGCCTTTAAAGAGAGGAACCCAAATTTTCTCTTAAATCTCCATTATTGTTTTAAAATCAAGATAACTTAGTCGATGGATTTTAACTTATGCTTACTTACAGTAACTATCCTGGTGTCAGTAAGTTAATTTTTTAGGTAGGCTACTGTCCAACTTCGGTATAACGAATCTGAAGGGACCGAACTGAATATTTGTTAAATTTATATCAAGGATTTCATTAAACAAGGATCGTTATAACGAGGTTAGGATTGCAGGAATTTTGCTAAGTCGAGGTTCAGAAACAAGATCTCGATCATTAGTCCTCGCTGAATGAAATAGTTGTGACGCGCATGGCAGAAAGATGTAGAGATGTGAAAAACTGTGCAGTCGAATGTTGCACAAGTATTGACGTCATCTTAACATTTTATAAGTTATTCGTCAAGAAATTGTGATTTTTTTCCAACAATATGGTGGGGTGAGTTCGTTATATCGAGGGAAAGACGCAGACAATTCGATGAGTAGAGGTTAAATTTGCTTTGTATAGGTTCTGGCAACGATAAATTTGTTAATTGAGGTGTCTTATTTTAGCTGGGATCATCAAAAATTGGTTAAATCAAGGTTGTTGATATGGGTTGTTTGTTATGTAGGCTAGAGGTTTTGAAAAATATAGATTGAGTGTTATGGAGTGTAAGGGGATTAAAAAAATTTGTATATCAAGGTGCGTTATATCAAGGTTAGACTGTACTTTCCTGTTAAAAGGAACATTCATTATTATCGATGATCTCTTTTCGATATATCGATGTTTTATTCTATAGGCCTATTTTGATATTAACGAATTTAACTTATCAGCTGACAACTACGATTATTAGGCCTAATAAATGTTGTTCAGTGTCAACAAACAATAAAAAAATACAAGGCTATATTGAAATGAAACTGTTTTTCACTAACCTAACTAACCAAACTTGCTGTAACATTTCAAATTTCCGTTTGATAGCCTATTCTCCATATGCCTTGTCTGTTATCAAACAGAATTTTAAAACGGTAGCTTAGCCTACAGCGAGTTTGGCTAGTGATGTTAGGTTCTAAGCTTAGAATAGTTTAATTTCTTAATTCAATATAGGCTATTATTTTTGCCTAAACAAGATTAGTTCTTAACCCTATTCTCTAATACGAGCTATAACTCAATAACTTGGTTATTGAACAAAGTATAACTCAGACATATTTACTACGTCTGTTGTCTGTCTGTAATTTAAATGCGTTTGAAGATATTAAAACAGATGGAATATGGATTGTAAAGGAAAACAAAAATATCAATATATATTGAAAAGAAATTATTGATAATAATGAATGTTCCCCTTAACAGGAAAGTACCTACCTGTAGTAAAAAATTTACTGCGAACACTTCAAACCAAAACGTTAACCCTTTGAGTGCTGTTGCGCCTCGCTGCGAGACGCACCATTGTCGTAGCTCGAGTGCGTAGCAAGACGGTCTAGATTGCGTGAGAAATGCCAGTGTCTTGGAGCGAGAAAATCACTTCATTAATTTCAAATAAGGCTGCCCTTCAAATCGTACCAAATGTGACAGAAGGAAGTTGGTGTCAACTATTTTTCTCTTTTCCTGTACAGTGGAGCTGAGAAATCTGGTCAACCAATCAAAAACCATTAAGCAATAGTAGACTGCTTTACACAGTCAAATGTATATAGGCATGGCTAAAAATAGGCCTACTGTACAGTAAAATATAAAAATGATTTAGGCCTAGTTTTGTCCGTATCAAAACAAGTTTTAGAGCATGATTTTTTTGAGACCTCTTTATAGTAAATGTTACATATTTTTGGGGACGTATAAAATAAATACATTATTTGTTATACATTATTTCTCTTTAGTTTTAAATGCTCTGTATAATTAATGTAAAATTGATTGTCAATGAATAGTAGCCTAATTTTAAATTAGCCTAAGTTTGTGTTATTTTAACTGAAACATTTAAAATGAGAATAAATTGCACCATATTTATGCTTTGTCCATAAATATATTTTATTTTAACTCATGAAACTGTCCTACAGACATTTATTTTTTAACTGCACAGTCTATAAAGTAGGCCTATTATAATACGTGTCTTTCTACGGTCTAAGGGTATTTTATTAGCATAAACATTTCTAATAGGCCTAGATGTCTCAATCAGATATTTATTGTAAGCTTTATTATATTGTAAGATCTATGTTATTACTGACAATCACTTATCTATTTTTACTTTGTTTAGTTTGAATTTGCAAGCAAATTACATAGGTCATTTAGCCTCTGACTTATAGTGAATCTAGGTTAAGTGCAAAACTGTATCTATAATAGAGAAACTGTTGAAAGAAAGCTACGAGATGGTTGGTCCTAATGTAGTATATTATGTAGCTTTTAAGTTATGTATATTTCTAGAAGTTTTTGTCTATGTAAGAATGTTTATTTTAGCTCCGCCACCTGGGCCTGCAGGGGCACCGCCGGGGCCAGTAGCTCCACCTGGAGCGGTAGCCGTTCCTCCTGGTGCAATGGGTCTGCTTCCCCCCTCTCAACCGCATCAACCTCCGCAGCCACCAGATTTGCCAAGTGAGTGCTGCCTGCACAATACAAGTGTTTATTTTGTCTTTAAAACTAAGTACTCAGTTCTTTCATAGTTTAATCATACCAACTTTGTTTCAAGTTATTTATTTTTTCTTCAGTCATACCTTGAATATGAATACTCAATATTAATCCTGCAATACCTTTTCAGTGTTCAACTGCCCACGGCGACCTAACCTGGGCCGAGAGGGAAGGCCTATTGTTCTTCGAGCTAATCATTTCCAAATTTCTATGCCACGTGGATTTGTACATCACTACGACATAAACATTCAACCTGACAAGTGTCCTAGGAAAGTAAATCGAGAAATTATTGAAACAATGGTTCACGCTTATAGCAAAATTTTCGGTAACCTTAAACCTGTGTTTGATGGGAGGAACAACCTCTACACCAGAGATCCGCTGCCAATCGGAAACGACAGAATGGAACTTGAGGTGACCCTGCCTGGGGAAGGGAAGGACAGAGTGTTCCGTGTAGCCATCAAGTGGGTGGCTCAGGTAAGGGTGACCTTTAAATACTGTTTATGTTTACCGTAGTTAGTTCTTGTTTAATTTTGTATTGTTAAACCACTTAACAGCAAGAATGCACTAACCACTTTGAATTTTGTTTTAGTACTTATTACAACGTGAAAATTAATTCTAGACCTAAAAGTATATCTAATTTACCCTGTATTTTCATCCACAGGTATCGCTCTTTGCACTGGAAGAGGCTCTAGAGGGACGTACCCGACAAATACCATTTGATGCCATTTTGGTAAGTTTTATTGTCTGGTAGCAGTTTCAACTCCTTAAATTTTAAATATGTCTATGTTTCTTTGTTATGTTATTTCTACATTTTCCGGACTAAAGATCCGATTTCACCAACATAACCAGTAGCTCCACCTGGAGCTGTAGCCGTTCCTACTGGAGATTGTATACAACACCAAATAAACAGGCCCTGTGTTTTTTGTAAGATGACATATATCTTACATGGATGCATCAAAGTCATCCATTGTTTGTTTTAGGTGTTTATTAAATTAAGTCCTTTGTCTCAGACAATTGATTGGGCCTATCTCTTACATTTTTTTAAGAGGTTGGTAGCCTCTTTTAACCTTACATTTGCCCATACACATAGACTACAGATCTGTGTGTGGAGCGTATCCAGCAAAGCAAGGGGTGAGCCGGTACAGTTTGAAGGTGAACTGTACTGATAAAATGTTTGGGGCAGTGACCAGGATCCGAACCCACGACATCGCTGCCTTGGGCCTGAAGTCTGTGTCGCTACCAACTGAGCCATCAACTCACCTATTGCTTCAAAACTAACATCCATAATGGCCGTTGAAATCCCAGTCTACGGTGCTTTCTTGTGGCAAATTGCTCTGTGATCACATTTAACAACTGTCATACAAATTTTCACTAGAAAACATAGTGCTCCAGCAAATAATTTCTAGAATTATCGTTGGTTGTAGTATCAAATGCAGCTCAATTGACATATATCTTTTGTTAACATATGTTTATTGATGAAGTTTACATTCCCAAAATATTACTCCACAATTGTCAAATGCTAATAAATGCCAATTGCAGGCGCTAGACGTGGTAATGCGTCACCTCCCTTCGATGACCTACACGCCAGTCGGACGCTCGTTCTTCTCCTCTCCCGATGGCTACTATCACCCCCTAGGTGGTGGCAGGGAGGTGTGGTTTGGATTCCATCAGTCTGTGCGACCCAGCCAATGGAAGATGATGCTCAATATCGATGGTATGTGTTCTAATGTCTCTTTTATACCTCTAAAACGTTACACTTTATTGTGCATAGTTAGACCTACTCTTGCTTATTGTAAGTTTAGTGCTTTATGATAAAAAAATGCCTTTCTTCTCAATGTCGACCATAAAAAGTTTAAATTGGTAGCCTAGTTTGCATCACTGGTACAAAAAGACCACCATCAAGTCTCAAAAACCTCAAACAAACAAACTCAAACAACCCAACGTTCCATTTAATTAATTTTCATGTCAAAAATACTTACCAGAGCACACAATAGCCTAAACTTACATCTGGAATTACAGTGAACAGCATCTAGTTCTAAATCAAAATTAGTCTTCATCAATCATAGCATTAATTGGTTTGCTAACAAATCTGTCATAATATTCAAGTTGCTGTAGAATTAGTAAACTGACTTACCTTGACTCTCGAAATAAGTTTGTGGAGCTGTTAATCAATTTCTGTTGGTAATCTGAAAAGGACCGCTTTAATCTTAAGAAATGTCTTAGTTACTATCTGGCATTTTGTAGTTTTTATGGTTTGTCGCACTCAAAGGAAAAATAATCAATTAGGCCTATATCTAACATGCACAATGTTTGTTGATTACAGTGTCGGCAACCGCTTTCTACAAGGCACAGCCAGTGATAGAGTTCATGTGTGAAGTGCTGGACATCAGAGACATCAATGAGCAGCGCAAACCCCTGACAGACTCACAGAGGGTCAAGTTCACCAAGGAGATCAAGGGGCTCAAGATAGAGATCACCCACTGTGGTCAGATGCGCAGGAAATACAGAGTGTGCAACGTCACTCGGCGACCTGCGCAGATGCAATCGTGAGTAACAAACAATCTATGTGGTTAATGGATACACTATGGGAAAATTTTTTAACATAGCTGTATCCAAAATAAAATAAGGCTTAGGCCTATGTTCAAGCTTAATAAATGTTGTTAACCTTAAATGTTAAATTTGTTATCTTGGTTCATTATCACTGAATAGGCCTATCAAAATAAAACGATGACAACATTACTTGTTTAATACAATTATTAAATGGTTAATAATAAATTGCAATAAGAATGAACTCCAATTTTTTGGCTCCACTCGCCTCGCGGGCCTCTCTGCTCGCTGGTTTTCGCTTGCCGTTTCCCGCGAACCGGGGTCCTCGGCTCCTGGGCCCCCCTGTATTGCGCCCTCTGTTAACGCCACTGCCGTACTGTAAACTTAAATAATTATTCACGCCTCTGTTTTTTACCCCACAAATTTTATTTTACTTTTATATTAATTTTAGGTCTGAAATATTAAATAAGATATATAAAAAAACAGAACAAATTTCTCATTTACAGCACCATTTTAAACACAAATTAGGGCTGGTTGACCTTTGGGAAACATATGAATTTTTATCCTTTAATATATTTAATATATATTTAATGTATTAATATATAAAATTATATTTAATGCTGCTTGTCCTAAATATTTTTTAATGATAACTGTGATAATGACTGATTAACATTTTCATTTCTCTTGTGCTTTACTTATGAATATTTGGTGGACAATCTCAGCTAAAACTTTATCCAGCCTTTTGGTTGGTGATTTTTTCAAATAAAAATAATTAATTAGGTATTGATATATAATATAGGTATAATTTTAAAATTTATATATAGAATTCTTCGGTTATGTATTTATAATATACACTATTCTATTTGATAGACTATTGAGTATTCTAGTACTATTTGGTTTTTAATATAAATTATATCAGCAAAAAGTTCAATTTTTATATATAATTAAGTCCTACTTTTCCTACTTTTTTGGAGCCAAAATCCACTTGGGGGCCTGCTATTCAAAGATGCATTGAATTTGCAATGACGCTACCTCGTCAGGAGGGCGCCCGCTAGAAGTCAACCTATGTTTACTTTAAGATTTTCTTCTGACTCTTAGCGGGCCCGTCTCCCTGAGGAAGTAGCAGATCACTGAATATGTGATAAAATAGACGCTTATGTCCAGTAACTTTGGCAAAGTTTTGTAACTCTATTTGAAATATTTCAACAAAAATTTAACGGACCCGGGACTTTAGGGACATTCTGTAGCCTATATTTACATTTGTTTTGTTTGCAGGTTTCCCTTACAGTTAGAGAACGGCCAGACTGTGGAGTGTACTGTGGCCAAGTACTTCCTGGACAAATACAAGATGAAGCTGAGATACCCTCATTTGCCTTGTCTACAAGTGGGCCAGGAGCACAAGCACACATACTTGCCACTAGAGGTAACTTACTCAATACTTTGTCTAATGCGATAAACACCAGAATCAGAGCAACATGGCGATTCAATAACACAGTATTACAGTCCTGATAGTAATCCCTAATTTTTAAGAAAATATTGTTCTAAAACGATCTCAATGGGCAGTCACTCAGATTATTTGAAACACAAATAGCAAATAATCTGAATATGGGAAGTGAATGAGATGAATGTGAATGGTCATGATGATGAGAACTGTTCATGTTTAACAGGTTTGCAACATCGTGGCTGGTCAGAGATGTATTAAGAAGTTGACAGACATGCAAACCTCGACTATGATCAAGGCTACAGCACGATCTGCCCCTGACAGGTAAGCCTAGTACAAGTCACTGTAACCTCATCAAGACTAACAATATGTGTAGTGATCTAGGTAGATAGACCTCCACAGTCACATTTTGTGGTCTTGTAGTCTTTGGGTAACGAAAAACACTTCCATTCGCCAATGTTTCAGTCTCCATGTAGACTATCATCTTCAGATAGACTTAACTTTTCGCATAGTTAAAAAAAACTGTGCAGTAGTTAAGTCACCCTAAAGATATTTTTTGTGAGGGTAACAGTCTTACCTAAATAGAAATGTGTCCAATCTGGCGCAAGAAACACTAAACTTAACATTCTACACACACAAAATTATGACTAATGACTTGCATAGTTTATAATGGAAATTGTCGTTCAAGGTGGCATTCACTTGTATTAGTTTGAAAAATAGCTGATTACTCAATATTTTACTTTATCCACTACTTTTTCTCACTCCGGATGACAACTGAATAAAACCTGAACATAAAACCAACTACAAACCTTAACTGCTTAATGTATTAAGGTGTGCTAACCTCTTCACAACAGTGACCTGTTGTGATATAGCTAATTAATTAACTATTAATAATTAACTAATTGATCTCCTCTAATTGACATAACCTGTTTGCAGAGAGCGTGAGATCAACAACCTGGTGCGACGGGCAGACTTCAACAACGATGCGTACGTGCAGGAGTTTGGCCTTACTATCAGCAACAACATGATGGAGGTGCGAGGCCGAGTGTTGCCTCCGCCAAAGCTGCAGTACGGAGGAAGGGTCAGCACTCTCGGAGGCCAGGTGTGCTCAGCTAGAGTTGAACTGTGCTGCCTCCCAATGTTTGCTCATATCTGTTCATTTATTGGGGGTTTACATTTCACAAATACTTTTTCAGATTTCTATTTTCAATTAAATCCTTTTGTTTTCGACGTTGATATGATGTCGAAGTTTGTTTCCACCAATTTTGAAGTGCCCTGAAATGCTAAAATTGTACCCTCAACGATTTCATGCCAAAACCAACTCATCACCTTACATTCTTGGAAATTTTGTTACGTCCAATTTTGGAAAGTGTACACCTTTTATAATTATTTTAATGGTTTTAAAACTAAAGTGCAGTGTAAGCCTTTTACTTTTTTGAAGAAATATAATTTTAAAATGTGTTTACTCACATGAGCGTTTGAATGGAGCTTTGACAATTCTTACCAGAGGCCTACTAGAATTCTTATCGATTCAGTCAGTCTAAAAAATAAATGGTGGCAAATCAGACTTTCCTCTTGTGTTATAATCCTACTTCCTTTATAATGTATTTTATCCAATCTCACTGATTTTAGTAAAATAGTCAATCAATGATTTTTAGGGTCAAAGTAAACATTGGGAGCAAACTATGTTAAATAATAGCCTTATTTGATAAGTTTTGACTGGGGAGAAGAACCTTTCTTTGTCAGTCAATTGTTTTGTAACCCCGTTTTACAACAATTTTTTATAAACTGCCTTGTTTAGAGCAGGTTGAATTACATGTCTAGGGGATATAAACAGTGTTACTTAGCATAAGTTATGTCTTATAAATGTTTTTTACCATCCCACTTGAACATCGGTCTGTCTTGGAGAGGATGTAAGTTAGGTGTACTCTTCAGTTTTGGTGTTCATATAATTGTTATTTTAAAGGCATAATTTATATGAATGCTGCTATCTTAAACATAATCTGTTGTATAATGCTGTGATTAAATTACTTTGTGTAAATCCTTTTATCTTTAATTTTTTTATTATAATTTGGTTGCCTTCTTTGGATTGCTTTGGTCCGTTTCCTTAGGTGTTCGGATGTTGCCTACATTATTGGAATTACTTAGATCATGTTTCTCTTTTCGCTGACCTTGGTTATTGTTATAAATTAATCAAATCAAAAATCAATGTTTTTCGAGCTCAATAAATCAAATAAAAATTCCAATGATTTATACAAGATAAATTATTGTTTGTATTTCTTTGGCATGTATATATGTTGAGTTATTTAAATATTCTGTACAGTATTACACAGACTTTCAGTGAGGTACACCTCTATATGCCCCTCTGAACATTTAACTTCATTGTCCCTTCGCTGCCATAATTAAGCTTTTACTGTACAGTAATACCTTACCAATTGTAAATAAATATCCAACTATTAATTAATTATTCCTAAAGGTTTTTCAAGTTAAATTATCGACAAACATGACACTTGTTCTTGAAGAAAAATAAGTTTAAAAGTCCTTTGTGAGCAAGCATCAAGAGACTAGTTTTTAGAGATGTGCGAGCGGCTCAATAATGAAGCCAAGTCGAGCCTTTACAATCACAAAACATAGGGTTGAGAATTTCACGGTTATGCGTTTCACGGTCGGAGGAGACGATGATGATCTCTACATGACTTCGGTAGAGTTTCCTACTATTGCTGCGGCTGTGGACTCTTGGAAGATGATGTTGATGACCTAACGATCAAGATATACGTCCAGGGTTTTGCCGTGTCCGTTGAAGATTATTATGATATCTAGATTACTGTCGTAGACATCTAGGATATTGGAACGGTCACGGAAGACAGTGCTGACGTCCTCACAATCGCAGGATGTGTTTACGGTTTTGCGGCAATCGCAGAAGATAAGACAATGATGATGTCTCCGTAACTGTGGGAAATAAACATAATTTTTCAAGGATTGAGAGAGATTGTGAAGATTTCCATTCAACCAAGGGAAATGATGCATGATACTACTGCGATAACATTGCAACATTGTTATAAATGCATATTACATCAAATTTATAATAACTGAATTAAATATTGCTTGTCTAAATACATTATAACACAAACTATGTGTGGAGAAGAAGACAAATTGTGAAAAATTAATTTTACATTATATGGTGTAAAGTCAAATTTATTATATAAAAGATCGCAGGCTCTACTAGTATATGCTAATCAGTACAGTACTATAAGGAAGTATTTTTAAACTTTATAAAGAGAAGTACACAACAAACAATGAGAGCAGATCCATGTAGTCGGCTGCCATATCAACAATTGAAAACCTCATGGCAGTTAGGGGGTTACAACAAGCTTAGATGTAGAATGCACTTGATCTTAGGAATGCACCCTGCTGTATTTTGTCATGGTGTGCATGAATGTTTAAACTGTACTGAACTGCTTAGTTTATTTTTATTTTATTGATGCCTGATTCAGGGTTTTTTTTTACAGAGAAAGTAGTGTTGAAAAATGTCTTTAAACATGTTTAAATTACAAACAGAAATGAGCAGGTATTAGCCAGAAAAACTTAATTCTACACATGGTGTTAAAGTAAAACTACTTCTCTGTAGGACACCCTGGTCTGGTAGATTTTATTTGTGTTGTGACGCGCTGTGGCATGATTATTAAAACAGATGTGTTTCCTTGCTGAATGAGCAGGAATTTCAGGGGTGCAATGTACTTCAAACCAAGCAGCAGGCAATGCCCAACCAGGGAGTGTGGGATATGAGGGGTAAACAGTTCTTCACCGGAGTGGAGATTCGAGTGTGGGCGATAGCTTGCTTTGCTCCACAACGGACTGTCCGAGAGGACTCCCTCAGGTAAACTTTGTGTAGCTAAGCAATTGTAACTCTCAAAATAATTATTATGAGTTCCTCCAAGGTAAATCACCAATGAATTGATTTGAGTAGCAATGAAAGTTTAAAATTTAAAAATCGATGGATATATACTTGAAATTTGAGTTCTGTTTTTATAGATTCTTGTTCCGCTCTTTGATTATTGACATTTGAATTCTGACGTGGACTTCACATTTACATGGATCAGTTGTAACCAAATTTAATTTAAAAAGAACAGAGTTCAACAATAAATTCACAGAGTGCACTACTGTCTGAAATTCTGTTCTCACCCTTAGGTTTTGTCACTGTGTCGGTTGATGTGGCATAAAAGATACTAGACAATACAATAAGTTGACCATTCTGTTTTGCTTGGTTTAAAAGTTAATGACAGTTAGTTGACAGAAATAAGTATTTGGAGGTGTCTTTGGAAACAACAGAATTTTTATTCTAAAAATTTGCTACAACTTTAATATGGGAATGGAATGTCTAGTCCCATCTATAGTCAAAGCTTTTATTGTCACTTTGTATTTGATTTCTAAACCTATAGATTTTTATACTAAAGTTAATTTTTATTATAGCTTATAATTAATTATACTATTGTTCATTGTTTGCTGTAGGAATTTCACCCAACAGCTGCAGAAGATCAGTAATGATGCCGGCATGCCAATCATCGGACAGCCTTGTTTCTGTAAGTCAATTCATTTACTAGTGAAAGGTTGCTGTGCATAATATAATGAAGCTTTCTCTACATTGTTATCTAAGTTCTGATGAAACACCCACCATTGGTTGTAGTAACATCGCTGGGACAAAAATAAAAGGTAAATAAACCACTATTTATATTTTGTCTTATTAGTTCATGGGCAAGCCACAACAATGAGTACAGTAATGTAATTGGTTGAAAAAAGCTAAAGTTTTGTAAGTTATTTGTTGTACGACAAAACAACAATCTACTAGAAACCGAGCACAAATTTTTTAACAAACAAACCTAGTTGTACACTTTACAAAATTAACTTTAAAACCCAACTCCTTAACAATGTGTTTTATACAGGTAAATACGCCACGGGTCCAGACCAGGTAGAGCCCATGTTCCGCTATCTCAAGTCTTCATTCCAGTCACTCCAACTAGTCGTTGTCGTTCTACCTGGGAAAACTCCAGTTTATGGTAAGTGAAGTTATTTGTCTGCTGAACAAGGTTTTTTTTCAGCTCATTGCGAAGAATCATGAAGTGAAATGTTAGTTTTTGTTACATTGCATAGTATAAAGTTTCTCTATTTCTGTCTGTCCAGTGTGTGGCTGTCAGTGACGCCCAAGGTTGCCATTCATGCAGCCTACTCCAGGAAAACTAGAGCTCCAGCAAAAATCATGACTTGTTTGTAAATCAAATACTAATTAACTTGAAAACCCAGTTTTGTGCGGTATTACATAAACTTTTCATAAGGTTTTCCTACACATGCCCACTTATCAGCCAGGATTTTGCCACAATCCAGGGTAATGTTTCCACTACTGAAGAAGATATTCAATATTGCGCCGACGGGAGACGGTGATGTTGATATTATGGGTTTACAGTATTACATGGTTGTTGTTGTGTGTAGCCGAGGTGAAGCGTGTGGGAGACACAGTGCTGGGTATGGCCACTCAGTGTGTTCAGGCCAAGAATGTCAACAAGACCTCACCACAGACTCTGTCCAACCTTTGTCTCAAGATAAACGTCAAGCTGGGAGGCATCAATAGTATTCTGGTGCCTAGCATCAGGCCCAAGGTAACATTCTAATATGCTGCTTTTATCAACATTCTTCCACCATGTTACATTGTGTTTCTTGTGCCATAATGATGTTTTTTTTTCATACATTCAAGTTTTCCTAAGGAAAGGCAAGTTTCCAGGATTCGGATTTTGATAATAAAAGGATATTTCATACTTTGATATTTTTAACTGAAGTGGCGACCATACGAATAAAGGTATTTTAGTCCAAGTATGAATGAAGATGAGTGTAGGATGAGTGGCACGATCTGGTAGTCTTTTCACTGACTAAGGCCGACATGTTCCCAAGACAGTCCTGTTAATATCCCATACAGCCAATGGCAACTTATTAGGAACATACAGTTTATAGTGGAATCCAAACCACAATATAATTTAAATTTACAAATTGGTCCTATTATCAGGATAGTACTGCCAATAGTCGTAGTACACACTAGTGCAGACGTTAATCCACACCAAGTAGTATCGCATCACAGATCATGTCTATAAATATCCACAATTTATGGGTGGACTTTAGTACCCAAAGAAGACACAGCAAACCTACAATATTCCACCCCTGGACCTTGGGTGGAATATTGTCTAGTACTTTGTCTAGTGTCACACTTTCTCCCTAAGTAATCCCTTTCTAGACTCTTTCTAAGGTAAGCTAGCTGGCTCTCACTCTTTTCTATTCAAGTAGTTCTGTCATCTCAATAAAAAGAGAAAGCAAACCTAGATCCTTGTGCCCTTTGTTGCATCATTATCCTAGGCCTAACTTATATATTTTAATTTCAACCATCCTCCCTTACTTGTCTACATAGTTGTGTGTTTTTAGGTGTTCAATGAGCCAGTGATATTCTTGGGTGCGGATGTAACACACCCACCAGCTGGTGACAACAAGAAGCCGTCAATAGCCGCTGTGGTCGGGTCCATGGACGCACATCCAAGCCGTTACGCTGCCACTGTCCGAGTACAACAACATAGGCAGGAGATCATACAGGAGCTCAGCTCAATGGTCAGGTGTGTATCATTATTATGTCCTGAACGCTAGACAAGTTTGATGTATTTGTCAAATAAGGCTATGTTCTCCTATCAGTAAACTGTATTGAAGTCATTTGTACGATAGCTGTCCATAAATTGAGATCTCCAACAAGCCCCAGTCACAGAAGAAAGCTAGCTAAAGCTGTGTGACGATTAGTTTCAACATGGTAGCCGACAATGATGTGAAGAAATGTCAATGCTCTTATCAAATATAAATAACTTTCATATTTAACTTTTCAGTGATTTTTTAAGACATATCTCTATTTGATGGTTTTAAGTCTTAGTACTAGCTGAGGGATGTAAATAGAGTAAAGTTTTAAATTGTGCGTAATGGGTGGAGAGAGTTTTGGGAAACATTTACGATGTTTTGCACGGTGGAGGCCGGTCGCTCTTTTGATTCACTGAGTATAGGAAAATTAATGGAGGAAGTCTCCATGAATACCTAGTACAGAAAATCTTGGAAATCTTAAACACGCCAATCAGCAACTCAAGTTTCTACTTTTATCTCTGTCTCGATGGGAACTGATGGGCACCCGCAGTCAACGTACACGGAAATTTGGATGGCTGTTAACATATTTTAACGTCCACGTTATACACATTTTTATTTTTTCCCATACTTGTCTATCAATTGGCAATGGATTTCAATAGGGTGTAGTCACCATTCCACAGAAAATTATTCACACAACACAATTCAAACTTGGCTGTGTCAATTTTTACTCTTATCATTATCAGCTACTATGACGAGACTAATTGTTGCACTGGGGCTGGAACCGATATTAATCAATCAACCAATTAAATAGTAGTAGGGGTATAAAACTACATCGCTGGTTTCAGTTGGGCTTTGTTTCAATTGTCATCTTGTGTAGGGAGTTGCTGATCATGTTCTACAAGAGCACAGGAGGATACAAGCCACACCGCATCATCTTGTACAGAGACGGTGTGTCCGAGGGTCAGTTTCTGCACGTGCTGCAACACGAGCTGACGGCCATCAGAGAGGCATGTATCAAGATAGAGGGCGACTACAGGCCCGGCATCACCTTCATTGTGGTCCAGAAGAGACATCACACCAGGTATTTGGCTAACTCATTTATATTGTCTCGAACTAATGATGAAAATCTTAAATCTGGGGAATCTCTCACTGTCATTTACATTATCTGCTGCTGCACAGTTTTAATGGGAAAACTGGCAATGGGCATTTTTATACTCATTGTAATGTATCTTAAGAGTCCTTGTAGGCTAGTGGTCATCTTGATGATTCCAAACAACTGCTGAAGAGTTATTTATCTTCCAAAAATATGTTTTTAAACACCGAAGTGATTATAATTTTAATATCTAGTATACTGAGGTTAGAAATGTTCTTTGTAGTTTTGAATTGTTCTCCAAGGGAGTCCATGGAACCTAACATCCATCTTGGATTTGCCCGCCATAAGAACAATGTTACTTTTATTAAATTTTAATTTCGCAATGTTAATTTCGTTGATATCAAACAGCTGCTGAAGATTTATTTACAATCTCAAAATATTTTTTCTAACAGCAGAGTTATTGTAATTGAAATATCTAGTAGTATACTGTGAGATTAGAAATTTTCTTTGTGGTTCTTTAATTGTTACAAGTTAGAACGTATAGGCTTAGAGACTCTTTAAGAGGTATCGATAAGCTGATTGGGAGATTTTTTTTATTGTGAATTTTTATAAGGTGACAAAAAATCAGATTTTTACAAATGCGGCTCCTACGATTTTTATTTAAATTGAGTATGTTACAATAATTTTAGCCTTGAACAAAATGGCATAAAACTAGGGATGGACGGGATTTAATTTTTAGTTCGGGACGGGAATTTTATTCCCTTCCCGATTTTAGGGACGGGATTCTTTCCTGTGCATAAAAAGAAAGTCTTGATTATTGCAGTTACCAAAAAAGATAAAAATATCAATTTTTACCATTTGTGGCATCAATCTATAAAATCAAAAAGGAATGGGTAAAAATTTACACATATAGAAACTTGTAACACGCGGTCACTTTGCGATCGTCGGTATGACTCCGCGGTCACGGCGTGATCGTCGGTATGACTGTGTAGTCACGGCGCAATCGTCGGTATGACTCCGCGGTCACGGCGTGATCGTCGGTATGACTGCGTAGTCACGGCGCAATCATCAGTATGACTCCGCGGTCACGGCGCGATCGTCGGTATGACTCGTTGTTACGGCATGATCGTCGGTATGGCACCGCGGTCAAGGCGCGATCATATGGTATGGCTTCGCCTCCTACGTTCACGGAACTGTCGTGAACATCTCTCGTGATAGCGGCGTCATCGTCACTCGCGAAGCGGCATAATCGTCGATGATTGGATCAATTTGTAAAACAGTTTTGTAACTGAAATTCGCTCATGAATAAATACCTTATTTATTTATTTACTTTATTTTAGCCACAAATAAGATCAATGTCCAGAATTCATACAGTTTTTTTTTTTCAATTGTTTTATTATTCTACGTAGTTCACTTAAATCCCAATTTTTTATAATGTTTTTCCTATCGTTTCTTTTCCTATTGTGTCGTCATGAGCCGCTTGAATTGACTCAGTCAGCATTTTGTTTTACTCTTTCTGACTTACGAAATCAGCAAATACATGTTTATTATTTCTAATTTTTTTGACAAAATAGTTAATTTTAAATATCATCTATGTGTGAGGCATATTCAGTGTAATTTTTTAACTAAATAGACACATAATGTTGACAAAATTGACTGCCGTATTGTCTGTATTAGATAATTTAGTCTGTTTACAGATTAACCATACTGAGCTAAACAAAACCAAGACTTGTAAGAAAACCAAGATCAATGAATGATATGAAATGATACCTTCTATGAGTCCTATTACCTAATTCCTCCTGCATGGTTCTCATATCTAGAGAAAAATAGGTACTTATTTAATTTCTTTTGTTTTAAGTTTTATCCGCCTTGTAGGTATAATCATTGACTATTGGATACAGAATATTGTTGTATTAATAGTCAAAGGTATAATGTAATTGAACTGTCCAATATTAATCGTCCAATTATTTGATTGAAATATTAAATCCTAAATAAAACACAGTATGTTTTTAGTTGTATATTTTGATTACATTAATTTGCTAACAAAAATCTATTAACCATAAGGATTTTTTAAATTTTTTTTATTTATTAGGCCTATTGAAAAATCCCAAAATTTTTTAAATAGCTTGCTGCAAAAGCCAGTAAAATTTTGCTTGTCTGCAGCTCATATAGAACAACTGGTTCTTGATAACAATCAACTTTGACCCTTGGTCAGTCTTTATCAAAACTTTGGTTTTCCTTGATTCTGGTCAAGATCTGCTATCACTTATACTCTACCTTTCTATGTAAGACTAAAATTAACTTGCTTTAACAAAAAAAATTAACAGTTAGGCTATCTTAAATTAATAAATATGTAACAATAAATAACATGCATTAAATACTTCTCAACTTAACAATAATAATATAATAAGTAGGGATGGACGGGATTGAATTTTTAGTTCGGGACGGGATTTTTATTTCCTTCCCAATTTTCATGACGGGACGGGACTGGATTTTTTCCTGTGCATAAAAAGAAAGTCTTTAGTATTGTAGTTATCAAAAAAAGAAAATAAATTTTTACCGTTTGTGGCACTGATCTATAAAAACAAAAAAATGGGTATCAATTTACCTATAGAAACTTGTGACTCACGTTCAAAATGACTCACGGTCACGGCGCGATCGTCAGTATGACTCGCACATCACGGCGTGATCGCCAAAATGACTTCTCTTCCTGCGTTAGCGGAACTATCGTGAACATCTCTCGCGATAGCGGCGTCATCGTCGGCAAAATCGCCGAGGATCGGACCAAATCCTGTCCCGAAAAATTCCCGAATAAAATGTAATCTCGTCCCAAAAATCTGGAATATTTTTTTCCCGAAATTTCGGGACCCTTTCATCCCTGATAATAAGTAATTCAAACAACAATATTCAATCAGATTTAAAATAGATAAATTGAGATAACAATAACAGCTTGATTAGGGTGTGTTTGATTATGTCAATGATGTTGACGTTTATTATTTTAAGATATTATTTATTATTTTATTTTCCATGTTACTTGCTGTCACTTCTCTTTTGGTTCTTGTAATTATACCCCTCCAGTTACCCAGTATAATTGTGTTAAATTTTTTGTTCGTAAAAGTATTAGGATGTTCAATTTGAATGTCAAGCTAGTAGAAGAAAGTATGTGTCAGTTTGTTCATACCATTTCGGCTATTTCATTTATGATTAGGAATGTGCTAACATTGCAAATAATAGCCTGCTTTAAACGTTTATTTAGAGACAGTATGGTTCAATACAAGGTTTTGCTAATGTTACATTGTGTTGTTTGTAGGCTGTTCTGTGCTGACAAGAAGGAGCAGTCAGGCAAGTCTGGTAACATACCTGCAGGCACCACTGTAGATGTGGGCATCACTCATCCCACAGAGTTTGACTTCTACCTCTGCAGTCATCAGGGTATTCAGGTACAAATCGTATTACATTTATTAATCAAGATTTTGTCTCTGCATTTTCCTATTTATTGAAACTCACCTTAAAAGTTTAACAAATTTATCTATTTAAGTTATTTATTTATTTATTTAACAAGTTAGTAATTTATCTTTAATTAAAGCAATTTTACCTTAAGTACAGTGACTATGTACATATTTTGATACTGTTATTCCATCATCAGGTTTAAAAACTTTCACACTCTTCACAGATTTGTCAGTTTGATACTTAAAAACATCCAAAAAATATCTGATAGATTTTATCGCCGACCTGGCTTCATAGCCTATAAGTTAGTTTAAAAAGTTTAAATTCATGTTAAATATTTTGATTTAGCCATGTATTTTGATGTTGTATATCCAAACTGCAAAGACAATGTTTCAACGATGACAAGAAGACCTGATGATGGGATAATAATCCCAAAATCTTTACATAGCCCTTGTACTTTAAGAAGAATTGTTTGGACTTAAGATATCGCCTTGATTTCAGCAATTTTGGAGGCTTTAAAAATGATAACATTATTCAAGGTACGGTTGAGTATGTTGTTTTAGATTGTGGTTATAAGTGGTGATGTGTTTGTGTAGGGTACCAGTCGGCCGAGCCACTACCATGTACTGTGGGATGACAACCACTTTGACTCTGACGAGTTACAGTGTCTGACCTACCAGCTGTGTCACACGTACGTGCGTTGCACTCGCTCAGTCTCCATCCCTGCGCCTGCGTACTATGCTCACCTGGTGGCCTTCCGCGCTCGCTACCACCTCGTGGAGAAGGAACATGACAGGTACTGTAGAATAGTTGTGTTGCTAGCCTAGTGGTTAGCGTCTCGGACTTCGGTGCGGGAGGGACAGGTTCAATCCCCGGCACATCCACTAAACATTTCTCTCGTGACTCTCTCCTAAAATACCACTGGCGTTGAAAAAAAAATAAAAAAATAAAAATAAAAATAGCTTGGTTAAGTCCCTTGCTATCCATGTTTTAGCGAATTTCCCTATAGGGAAGTAGCAATTATCAAAGGGGGCACTGTTCTCATTTTGATGTCTCCAGAGGCCAAAAACACTGTTCGTCCAAATTGCGATATAGAAGAGATACATGTGTCCCTGAACACAATAACTCGAGTAGTTTTTGTCCGATTTTGATGACATCTGGCTTGAAGGTGTACATTGAGATCATGGTATTACATTTACAAACAGTGATCATATTCAGCAGATTATACTATATGAAATACACTACAGGGTGGGATAAACTTAAACTTGAATGAGTTCCGAACGAGCAAGATCAGATCATTAGAACGTGGTGCTTTGGGGTTTCAAAATGTTCAAAAATTATTTTTCTCAAAATTTTCCTCTTAATACAGAGAAATGTCCTATTTTCATCAAGACAATCTTGTAGAGCTAAAAAAAAACATTTAAAATTCCCATGTTATTCTTTGAGGAAAAAAAAACTGTTGCAATTTGCTTGTTTATGAATAAGTTAATCAAATTTGGCAAATTTATTCATTTCATCCTGTACCATTCCTATTTATTTTGTCAAAATAACACTTTTTAACCTCTTTGTAGCAGCAACCCTAAGTACATACTCTTTAAATCTAATGTTATTCAATTGGGGAATAAATACGTCTTGTTTATGGTCACTACCCAAACATATTTAATTTATGACACCAAATCTATCTCCACATTCCCGAACAGTCTATTTTCAACAGCTAAAACCTTTAAGCCAAAATAACGTTTGGGTAATCTATTCATTTTAACTATCATTAGTTATGAGACAGTTTCGCCGCCTTGGTACTTGTTCAATGTTGAATATGATTGCAAGATGAGTGTAGAATCGAGTGAGGTGATCCACAGACAGACCAGCTTGTATCTAGGATAATTTATTAACCTGCATTGGTTATTATCTGTTTTGCAGTGGGGAGGGCTCTCACCAGTCAGGCTGTAGTGAAGACCGCACTCCCGGAGCCATGGCACGGGCTATCACAGTCCACGCAGACACCAAGAAGGTCATGTACTTTGCGTAATCGTCTCTGACCACCAAAACAATCACACCAAAACAACCTATAAATAGTTTTTATGTATATTTTGCGATCGTATCTTAATTTAGTGTATGACTTTCATGAGTCATACGCTCATGTTTATCTTTGTTACTTAGTTTGATTGTGCTGCCTTCGATCACTAGTATTTATTATTGAATCAGTGTGCTGAGATTATGTTTGTTAAAAATTTTATATTTTAAGAATATGACTAAAAGAAATCGTATATCTGTTAGTTAGCTTTAAGTGTTGTACGTCAAACTGGACATCCTGTGTAATCTGTCGCACAATCTCAGATTACAAACGATATTATTAAACGAGGTAGGGTTTACTTATTTTTTATGAATGATCAATTTTATAGAATTCCAAAGTAATTTAAAACCTTATGTAGGTTATGTTTTACAGATTTTAACACAGTACTTAGTGTTCTAAGTAAATGGCTGACTGACAAATCATGGAATTGATCATAACATCATAGTAATTGTAATGTATGAAGACACAATGGACGCTGTTTAAGTATTTAGCTTTAGTTTGATTTGTTTTCTAAGAGATTCTACTTTATCCTTAATTTGATACATCCATATATGCCTTTATGAGTCTTATAAGTTATACCGTAGGATTTTTTAAAATCATTTATCTAACAATTTTTTTCTGAAGTAGTTTTCTTTCTTATATTCTTTATTATTATATTTTATTGCCAAGTGTTTATACCTTATTTTGTTTTCAACCTGATTTATGTTAAATTTATATTATCTTACCTTTTTGACTCTGTGTTATTTTACAATAGCCGAAGCAGAATTTGATTGTTTTTTTTATGTCTTCAAACCAATATAATCATTAGGATAAAAGCTCTTCACTTAAGTATATACAGTATAATATTTTAAGATCAGTGATGTGTTTTGAACTCTGTACGCTGCTGTTGGTGACTGGTCAGTTTTGATTATTCGTCATCTGTGATATGTGGTATATGCTTTAGAAACACCAACTTAATATCCGTATTTTATATGTTTTATTGACTCTTGTTACTTAAATTTTCCTTCATATAGACAAAAATGATATTGTGAACCAACACCAAATATTATGGTTGTACTTGTTTTATGTTTGATTTTTGTAACTTTAGTAAGCATTCCAATATTGGTGTTTCATACCTCAATTTTGAGAAACAAAGTCAATGTTCGATCGTGTTAGTAACTTATTGAGTGTTTAGATATCAAATCAGTATTTTCTAAGTTTCCATATTTGCTCGAAAGTAGTCATTGTCGTAAGGTTGTAAAATCACTGTTCTCGATTAATGGATAGATTAGTTTAATCATTACGAACTGTATGTATATAGAGTGTTAGGTATAAAATGGACTTATTCAAATTACCATTTCTTTTTGATTAGGTTGTATATTATAATCCTGAACATAATATTAAGAATTAATCATTGAAAGGAGATATATTTTTATTTTTGTCTGATAGTAGTTTTATCTCAAATCCTAGCCTTATCACCCCAAGGTTATTAACAATAAATGTCACTTGCATATTTTGTAAACTCTCAATGTTTACTGCTGACTTAAGATTACCATCTGTAAGTAGTTAGCCTAACAGTATATAGTTTATAGATATACCTTTGGCAGTAATTAATTGTTTGTTAATACCTAGAACTGTTAACTTACGTTAAGCATTTACTCAAGCTTGGCGTATCATCTAATGCCAAGATTATATCAAACATAAACTGATAAGAGAAAATAACATTTAAGGTCTGATTTTGAGCTGAAATTCTGATTGCTGTAAATAATCACAAAGGTGTGTGAAATCAATTATACAAAGAAAATGTTTACCAAGAGTTTTACTATCGATCTTATTATTGTTAATAATTGTTTTGGATTTTTTGCTCCTATATAGATTAAGTCACTATGTTAATTATACATTATTTCTCTCCCGTGCATTTCTGTAATTTTACCCTTATACTTTATACTATTTATTTTTGTAGTAAACAAATTATACACTTACTTGTTTCTAAATCAATGATCCTCAGACTGGTTGATGTGTGTTTGATGTTGATAGCCAAGCAGAATAAGAAAATAAATATGTACAAAATGTATATTATCATCATTATACATGTTATTAAATTGCAGTTAAAAGGTGATTATGTATGTATCTAAACATAATATAATGTACTAAGGTTTACTCAGTAGCCTATAACAGATAATGGAAATTGTGTTTGTAGGCTGGTTTCTTGTCAGTTATGAGGTTAACATGTTATTGTAAATAGTGATTATAATCAGTGTGACAGTGTTCAGGACAATTAACATTATTATTACCTTTGTATCTTGATTGTTTAATTATATTTATTATGGGCTGCTGTGAATTCCCAAAGCTCTGTGTTAGGGAACTTTAATCTGTAAACAGGATTTTGATTGTTTTTTTTTGTTTTTTTTTGCTGGTAACTGATACTGGACTCAGCTGGCCAATCCCGAGAATCCATAGTATTTAGTAAATACAGTCTTAAGTCATTGTCACATACTTCCATCCCACATTCAACAGCCACTACCGACAATCATTATAAACGGCCAAAATGAAACATGTTCTTTTAAGCTGATTAAGGAGTAGTAGAAAATTAATAGACAAGGCCATTCAAAAATAATACCCACTAAAATTTGACTGAGTACTTATTATTTAAATAGTTGAACTTGTTCTCAGTTGTTTCTTTCACATTAAATTTGTCTTATTACCTTTTAAAAATCAGGTACATTTGACATTAAAGTATAATAATGGTCCAAACACGTACATTAAAATAATAGTATGTATAGTAATCATTGCCCATCGGTAAACTTAAGCTCCGTAGGCCTATTAAGTATTTACATAGGTAGGTGTGGAGAATCAATTAATTTGAATATTGGCTTGTTATTAGTTTTTAAATAGTTTTTATATCAATAGATTTTTTTGTAATATCGTTAATAACATTTACAAACGATTATGTTTTACATCATTAATTTTTTACCAATTGAGCATAGGTACATGTTTTGAAGATTATATAAATTATATTTTATATTGAATGTTGAAGTTCCTTTCAAATAAAGGAGAGTGTATTAATGAAGGTAATCGTGTAAGCTATGACCAATAATATCGTTATGACATTGTCGATTCTTGTAACCTCAATGTTTGTCTAATAGTTTACTAATTTTACTTTGTCTCTATCAGATTGGGACAAAAAAAGCCGGGACTAGCGTAAGATTGTAGACTTACTAGTCCTTTAGTATCTATTAAGTGCCCTCTATTAATGTAACACACATCTTTTATAAGGTACCTCCGAATAAGCCATATGATAGTTGTAAATCGGAACATTCTAAATGTGAAGCATTTTTTATGAGCCGACTTTTAAGTGTTAGCTGTTATTGTTGCTATGGCATTTGCAGGCTGTGTGATGCTCAAAACTGTGAAAAAGTCTTGACACATCTTCCAAAATAGCAATGTTTTGTATGTTGTTTTACCCATTTTGTTAACAGTATTCTCAATATACATTGAGAATGTCTTTTTTACGTGAATTGTTTCCATTTTGTCAAGATATAACCGTATGTCCATAGAAAAATTAACTATTTACGATTATCCTATAGTATGTTGACAATATTTAAGTTACGTTAACAACAAAAAAGATTAAGTAATTTATCAGTATCCAGTATCCGAATGCATCTGTTGCAACAGTTGATCATAAGTGAACTTGTTTGTGCGTTAAACCTTATTATGCTTATAGAATTTTTTTGTCTGTTGAAAAAAGCATTGATTTTATTTGTAGTACTAATTCGGTTTTAAGGTTAATACATTCTTGATTCTCAATTCATCCCCAATCTACATTTAGGAAAGGCAAACAAAAATTATTTAGTTTCAATATCTTGATATTATTGAGTTCAGGTATTTGTTTGGTGTATTTGTGATTTTTCTTTTTCTTAGTATATTAATGTCTCAATTAATCCTGCAAGGCCTCAGTCAATTATATGCTTTTAGAACTTGAATAAAAAACAAACATTGCATTTTGTTCTTGATACTTTGATACTTACGTTAATTATAGCTGCTTCATATAAACTCTTTGAAATATTGTGTACTTTTCGATTGGTAATATTTCACATTTTTGGCAATTTGTTTCAGGATACATTTAAGTACTCTAAGATAGACTTTAACACAAATGATCAACACAACACTTGGGTCTAATACATTAAGTTATAGTTACGAAAGATGTGTTAAGGACTCTAAAAAGTAATAAATTTGTTTGATGCTAATGTGTATTATTTCTGTACTTCATCCTTTTCATTTTCATAGCAGGTTTTGATTTGATTATGAACACAAGTGTATTATTTTTATGTTAGTTCATTATTAACAATTTTGTCATAGGAGCATTGGTCCTATTGCTGCAGAACTGAAGGCAGCTGTGAGAAGCCCATGCTCTGATTTAGTTTGTGTGTCTACCGGTTATTATTGAGGCCATAAAGAAAGATGTTCCACAGCTTGAGGCTTTCTTTGGGGCCTCAATAATGTTGAAGCACGTGTAAGTAAGGTGTTGGCACTTCAGCATTTGAGGGTCGGGTGGGTCAACTGCAAGCTCAGTTGGAGGGTGGAAGTAATGACTAACGAGGTGTCTGTCTACCTAAGTCACTGATTTAATTAGGGGATCACAGAAGTCATTGAAAAGTAACAATCAGGCCTAACTAAATTGGTTCCCCAAACCAAAAAGTGGGTTTTCTCATTTTTTACCCTTGAAACAAAAAATTTTTCTCCACTTATGTCCTTTTTAAAGAGCTTAAAAAACAAATAATTTAGTATATCAAAGTGTTTTGGTACGGTGATTGGTTATGGAGAAAATTCAAAAAGTTGTTCATTTAAAATTCCCATGTTATTCTTATGGAGAATATTGTAAAATGTTGTAGTTGGCTTGTTAATGGTAATATTTTGATCGAACTTGGCAAATTTGTTGATTTTATCATAGACTAACCAACATTTTATACTAAGCTATAATTATTTTACTTGCAAACACACTTTATAGTTTCCTTGTAGCAGCAAACCTATGTACTCATTAAACCTAATGTCATTTAAATATCGTTTCATTGAAAATCATTTTAGCAAATGGAAATTCGCTTAAACGGCAGGTTTGCTGTGGTGGGGGTATTTTAACTCATATTTTCCTAATTGAAAAACCACAGCTGAAATAAAAATAGTGCAGCCACGACAGTTTATCTATATACCGGGTGTCCAAAACCACCCGTACACCCCTTTCAAAACGATGGAAACCTTTTCTTACAAACAAAAAATAATACAGAACTAGCTAAATTGGGCACGGTCTACCAAATGGTGATAATTTCAAATCCAAAATCACACCGGAAGTGGATTTTTTAGACCGGAAGTTGACTTTTTTAAATGTAAACTACCAATTTTGATTACAGAATCGGATTTTACGTCGAAAAATACATAACTTTTGTCTAAAACATTTTTTGAAAAAACTTGTTTTCTACCTCTAATACCCCATTAAAGTCAATAATTTTTGGTCATTCATGTGTCAAAGTTACTTGAAACAATAATAGAGAAAGACAAATAGCCCAGTCAAATGGTGTTTTGAAATGGAAAGTTTTGGTGTAATTGTTTTCTTTTGTTTTCTTTATGTTTTTTGGGGTGCTGAATCCAAATTTGAAGTTTTCCAACAAAAATTTTTTCGGCAAATATGAAATTTTTTGAAAAATAGGATGAAAATTGTATTTTTTTCTAGTTTTTGGCTCATAATCTATCGAATAATAATTTTTCCCAAATATCATCCTATACTAAAATAAAGAGCATAAAATTCTCTACAGTTTATGTATCTATAACTTTTATCTACCACAAAGAAGTGTTTATCAAACAAAATTTAAAAGATCTTCAAAATTCATTGATTTAGGAAAAAACCAAAATTATTTCCGTTATGACTTCTCCAGGTTATAATAGGATGTAAAAGTGTAAAACGTCCCATAAATCTTGTTTTATTTATAAATATTAAACCCTTTTAATTTAAAATACATGTACACCAACATAATGGTAGATACAAATTACTTTGATTAAGTTAAACTTTTTAATTCCTCCGAGACTTCTTGGCCAACGGTACCATAATTTCTGCAGAGCTACTTTCAGGTTCTTTTTCACCTAAAACACCTTTCAAGATTTGGATCTTCAGTATGTGTGAATGCTTTAAATAAGGCAGACTTGGCCTCTTTCCTGATACCAAAGTCATCGAATAGAGACATTGGGTACGGACATAGTTCCTATTTCAAAAAGCCTTCAAGTTTCTCATCAGACTGCTAGGCAATTGCCATTCTGTAAACAATAGTAGTTGGATTGATAGGTACGATTAAGGTCATCATGTATTTTAAGGGAATGGATCATTGTGGAAAGTGGTAAAACTCTGTCTTTTCTGTCAAACTTAACCTGTTGAAAATCGATGAAATCGATGTTATTCTCAGAAGATAATAATGTATATCTTTTAATCTACTGTAGAAAACAATAATTATTGTTCATAGTCACCATTGGCATCAAAAACAAAACTCAACCATACAACTATTACCCTGGTTTTATGAAATTGACTTTGGATTGATTCAGCCACCTGCGTGGCAGAATGATTAGTTGTTACTATTGAGTTAATATTACCACAGAGAATAGACCATTTATGATAGGATGGTCTATTGTATGTGATATTACACTGAAGATTACTCAATATAGGGAAAAATTGTTCCGATGAAATACTGATTATACTTGACTTTCTCCCCGAAGTACTGAGGCAATTTTGTAAACGATGAATGAATGCATAGCATGCGAGTACTGACGACTACACTACAGTAGCGGGCTGTGGCCGTCTACGGTGAGCAACAAGCAGACGCCTGCCGGTGCCCCCCCCCCGTTACATAAATATTTTATTTACTGTATATATATTTTTAAATTTTTATATATGTGTCCGTTAGCACGATAACTCGATCAAATCATCCGATTTTTACGAAATTTGTTATAAACTTGTAAACCTTAATTTAACCGGGAGGAGTTCGCGAGCCAGCATGATCAGACCAGTTGGTTTTGGTGGGGTTATATGGGGTCAAAATTTAGTTTTTTTTACCCTTAAAGTATACAATCCTGCAATTTCTCCCAAACAATTTTGTATAGCTTAAAAAACAAATAATTTAATATATTGAAGCTTTAATATGCACCTAATAGTAACGGAGAAAAAAAATATTTAAAATTCTCATTTTATTCTTATAGGGAATTAGTAAACTATTATATTTTGCTTGTTATGAACATATTTTGATAAAAAGTGGAAAAGGTACTCATTTCATACAAAACCATTAAAATTTAAAACACTTTTTACCCTCCCTGTTGCAGCAAACCTAAGTACTCGTTAAACCAATGCTATTTAAATGGGGAACAAGTTCGATATGTTTAAAGTGATGTTTTAGAGTAAATTGAATCATGCAAATGAAAATTCACTTAGTCTGCAAGTTTGCTGCGTCGGGGGTATTATGTAATTTCTATTAATTACTTTGTAAATGATAATGTACTTGGTATCCATTTTCTGGAAGTAATATAAATGTTAAATATTCAATGTTCAATAATTTCTGAATAAAATAACTTTATTTATATTAATATAAATCTCTTATCATTGGTTCGATTTTCATCACCAGATAGTCAATGTATGCGGAATTTTATGCTCTACAATTCATTTATGATTTGTTATTTTTTTTGTAGGCTAGACGGGTTTTTGACGTTTAAGCAAATTCTAAAAAATAACCCTGAATTTCAAGGATTTTGTGGTCCCAGGTCAGAAGCTCACCTGGAAAAATGGGACAAACTTAAATCCTTTTTACTTCTATATAAATAGAAAGGATTAAAATTATCCCCAGCTTTCCAGGAATTATTTCTGGGCGAAAACCTATTTTACTGGCCTATAATTTAAAGGTTGTAAGCCAAAAACTAGAAATAAAGCATTTTTAATTAATTAATTTTTTAATTCATATTTGCCGAAATAATTTTTGTTGGAAAACATCAGATTCGTGTTCAGCAACCCCAAAAACATAAAATAAGCCTTAAAAAACAATTACACCAGAACTTTCCACTTCGAGCCCTTTTTAAACACCATTTGACTGGGCTAAAATAACAAAGATTACATAAAGACATAATGATGAATAGAATCAGCTGTTTATTTTAAACGCCTTAGCAAATTGAGTAACAGCTGGTCTACACATTGCTAAGTTTAATTTTTTAAATTTATTTTTACATTTGACCCCTTAAATGTAAAAACAAATGATTTATTTTTAAAATTAAATGAAATTAAGCAATGTGTAGACCAACTGTTACTAAATTGCTAAGGTGTTTAAAATAAACAGCTGATTCAATTCATCATTGAGCGGAGCGAGCGAAGCTCTTATACGTCGACTCTTATGCATTTCGTAATACGCAAACTCCTCCTAGACGGCTGAATCAATCGTTTTCAAATTTTGTATGGTGATAAAGACCATATCGGTGAGTGCCAACATCTATATGGCGTTAAAAATGTCTCTCAGGAATCCGCCCCACTGGGTCTCAAAGTTTCAATGTAATCCTTATGGAAGCAGTATTTGACACAGACATATGATCAGCTGTTGACTTTTGAATGCAGTAGATAAAGAAATAGCTGATGGCATTATTCCACAGATATTAGAACAGCAACGGTATGGATCATAAATATAATCAAATGACGACACTAGCTTGACGTCCTTGACGTAGGAAGTGGTGAAGGAAGTAATAAAGGTGAGCAGTCTGGAGAACTGTTTATGACGATTAGATTAAGGTATCTGCAATCCTAAAATGCTATTGGAAGGAAAGGAAACAGGTCCACGACGTAGGAAGTGGTGGAGGAAGTATTAAAGGTGAGCTGTTCGGGGTATGGGATCTGTTTATGGCCATTAGATTAAGGTATCTGCATTACTAAAATTCTATGGGAAGGGAGGAAAACGGGTCCGCGATGTAGGAAGTGGTGAAGGAAGTAGTCAAGGTGAGCTATCCGGAGTGTGGGAACTGTTTATGTAGATTAGATTAAGGTATCTGCAATCCTAAAATGCTATTGGAAGGGAAGGAAACAGGTCCGTGACGTAGGAAGTGGTGAAGGAAGTAGTAAAGGCGAGCTGTTCGGGGTATGGGATCTGTTTGTGACGATTAGATTATGGTATCTACAATCCTAAAATGCTATGGGAAGGGAGGAAAACAGGTCCGCGATGTAGAAAGTGGTGGAGGAAGT